CCCCTATCTTGGTCCACTGGGGACCAAGCACTCCGCTACCTGGGAATCATGGTCAACAAAAATGGCACATGGCCAGGGATGGGACAAAACCTGATTGCGAGGGCAATATCACGATTGGCCCCTTGTAAAAAGGCTCAGGCGTCTCTGATTGGGAGAGCACTAATCGTCAATACGTCGATCTTCTCCACGTTGTGGTCCATGGCCTCCATATGGTCCCCTCCAGATGACGACTTAAAAGAGTCTCAAAGCCAGAGTCAGATGCTATCTCTGGACAGGGGATACAAACAAAACCACCTGCATCAACAAAGTAGCCTGGCACCACATCACCAGGAAACCAAGAGATGGAGGCCTGGGAGTGATAGACCCAAAACAGGAGGCAATTGCACTTCAGATGAAATGGATAATTAAAATCCTAACTAGACAATCCCTGCCGTGGACCAAAATGGCCCTGGACAGCATAAGAAACCTGGCTCCTGTTAAGTCCCCTCCCAACATGAGCGGCGTGTTCTGGATAATGGCTAGAGAGTGGTCAATCGGGACAGGCAGGCCCCGAAGGATTAACCCACCTCAATCATTGGAACAGTCCAACCCCTCCCCAACCCCCTACTGGAAGCCAACCCTGATGGCTCACAAATGTTTCTGATTTTTGGATGTAACCAACTGGCGCGTGGCAGCTGTCTGGCCTCCACCAAGGCTTTGCAAAATTGACAAATTCAGGCCTCATTATCGGGCCCGCCTTCACTTAGGGCAGGCACATGCTTGCTTGTAGGGGCCACATGCAGGTATGCCGAGGGCTTAAGATCCTCGCATTATCGTCCACTTGAGAGGCTGGGTACGATATGAATTTTGCGAGACAGCCATCTCTTCCAGCTGTCTTGATGAATCTATGTTCGGGTGGGTGATTGTTCTCGGATAGACATCCTCCAGTCGCCCGACGTCCATGCAAAATCCTCCTTCATTAGTTGGACCCATGCCAGGGGAATGCTTTCTAAAATTAGGTTTAGGCTAGTTGCTAGTGAATGACACCCTTTGAGGGGTCCTCTTGGGTTTCTCACGGACTTCCACGTTTTCCTTCTCTCATCCCAACGATGTTCTATTTTCCAGACTCCTCTGCTCACCGACGAGAGCCATTTGCTGTTCCTTGCGAATAATGTCCAGGGAAGACCCTCCTCATTGGTTAGCCATTCATTGCAGAACAAGGAATGTCCAAGAACTTGTTTGGTGCATGGGGGGGATGAACCTTTGTGGGGTGTAGGGACCTCCATGCCAAGAGGATAGATGCCCAGTAGGGTTTTGGGGCTGCGTTTAGCCTCAGCGGCATAGGGGGGGAGTTAAAAGAATCCCTCCGAGCTGGTCTTTGGTGACCTGTTCTGATCATTCACTCCTTTGCCATTATCCAGAAAGTCCCTTCCATGTTTGGTGGTGCCATTGTAGGAGCTAGTTTACGGATAGTGTCCAGACTCCAGTGCCATCCTTCTCCAAGGGTTAGAGACCTGGTGTAGGATCTTGATTGTCCATTTCAGTTGAAGTGCAATGGTCTCTTGTTTGAGGTCAAGTAGGCCCATACGGGCCATACCCCACTCCTCAGGCATCCTTATTATGATATAATGCCAGGCCTCTTTACAGTAAGGCATCTTCCTTTTAGTACTAAACGATTGTTTGTACAACTGCCAAGGTATGTTGCTTCCGCACAACGACTCAAAAACTATGGTTGTTGTGACAACTGTGGAGGCATGTTCATCCTATTCCAGAACTCTTTCCTGCATGAATGTAGATATCAAATCATCATAGAATACATCAGTGATATTGGTACCAAATTACTATCAATAGTTATTTCGTCCTTTGTTGAAGTTTGTTCCCCTTCTTTTCCTAGGACCATCCCCGCAACCAAGATGCTTTTTCAATCAGGGCTAAGAGCATTGCGGGTGTGTTCTCTGTATGTCAAAGAGTACTGGCTTAGTCCCTGAAGCCTGCCCTTAGGATCCCATCATATCTGCCAATGCCTGCCTATCGTCTTCACTTGAATAGAACGCCCGGTAATTATCGACATATCTGGGCTGAAAGTTGTGCCGAAAATACAGCTATAATGACCGGGCGTTATATTCGGGCGAAGACGGTAGTGCCTACTGATGTGCAGACCTGATCGGTGGCAGTGCCCTGTATTTCAGGCACTTCCAGATGTTCCAGGAATGAAATGGCAAAAGCGGCAAACGCAGCTGAGGGCTTGAACCACCACTGGCCCAAACCTATTGATCCAATGGCAGAATTTGGCAGTCGTAACAAAAAATCATGGCCACTTGAGGCCGCTGCCAGGTACCGCCAGCCCGACCTGCAGCGTGCCAAATATACTGCGATGTTTCGCCAGTTCCATCTGGAAAATTAGTGGAATAGTAATGGTTGGAGTTGTATTCTCACAGAATAAACATATCAAAAGAACAGGCGTAACTATGCTTCTTTTCCTCTTAGGTGTTGCTTACATCGTTCCCCTCGCCGCAGCTTCATCAGTGGATCCTTAGAAAAAAACTGGGGTCTTGCCAGCCTGCCAGGGAGTATATGCATCCCGAGAGAGGTTACAGTCTTCCACGTCGGCTGGAAAAGTAGTGGTTTAAGTGGTTGTTGCTGCTTCAGGCAAAGTAAAACTTGACCTTTGGCATGTTTTCGATAAGAAATTATGGTTGGCATTGCTTCCTTTTAACAGTAAGTAAATTCTTAACACTAAGCTCTTTGGACTGAGAATCCTTTCAAAGGCCTGCTAAACGTGCCAAAGCTCAGCTTTGGTTTTAAAAACCAAACTGGAGGATCTCAATGTGTAAACTTGGTGTGAAAGTTGAAACACACTGAAGGGAATAACTATAAATCCGTGACCTATATATCGAGCAGCTCAAAAAGATTCTTGACTATAATTTTTTTGAATTATTAATAAAAGTAAACATAGAATAGATAGAAGATATAGATATAAGATATTATATACTCTTTACTCTACATTCGGTGCATTGACCCAGCCTCCAATTCCGTCCGCTTGCATCAAATAGCTCAGTGAGAATCCTGCACTAGTCTTGTTCTGCATATAGCCTGAACGGTTCTCCTCCAGAGAATGGCTAGTAGGCTACCCCCATCTTGTGGGTCCCCTCCAGAATGCCTACAAGCCATCTTGGTCTGTGATCCCACAATGCTCGTCATTAGAGCAGTCTCAAGGTAAAAATCCCCATGAAGGCTTAACCGAAGACCAAATATTCTGCGATTTTCACTGCCCCACACTGTGGCAAAGATTGTAAGCCCTCCCAGCCGAGAACCAAGTAGGGAGCCCATTTCATTAAAGATAATGTAGAGCAGTCTAAAACAATCACAACCCTTTCTTTGCCTCTCGCTCCTCCCCTCTCTTTTTCTTTGTTCCAGAAAAAAAAACGTGTTTCTTTACCGAATCTTTGTCGGTTTGCAGTTAAAGCTTTGTCTTTTGGACACTCTTTGCATCATACCTAAGATCTTGCTGAAAAGTAAACATAAACGAGAACCACCTAACAGACGAGCATAGGTATGCGGCCGAGTAGGTCTGGTTCCACATAACTAACATTTTCAGCGAAAAATTGGCACAGCATTGCTCCTGCATTGCCCTAACCTCACCGCAATGCTCTGCCCCCATTCACCCTAGAAAGTTAGAAACACAGGTGTAAAATATTCTTCCACGCAGTCTTCTACAATTCCACACTACCATTTTCACCCGAATAGAACGTCCGGTCATTATATCCGTATTTCGGGAAGCTTTCAGTCCAGATGCAGCCATTATGACTGGGCATTCTATTCGGTCTTAAACGGCAGCGAAAGCCGAAAAGCATGCTAGCCTGCAGTGTTCTGGGCTTGCAGGCACCTCTCTGAGGAATCTTGGAATTCGGGGCCACCCTATAATAATACTGCAATTCCAATGGGTATGTCAGAAGAAAGTGACAGCCTGGACTTCATCTCTTTGTCACCCTTCCTGCAAGGGCAGCAAATTCTGGGGTGTTTTCAGGGTTGGGTGGAAAGATGAAACAGATTAGGGCGCAGTCTTCGTCATGATTTCACTTCCAGGTGTGCACGGAGGCACGACGATCGATCGATGATAATTGCTAGGTTTATAGAACGTTGTACCCATTTCTGGGCACTTGAGATCCTTGCCCAACCGATACACTGTTTTTCTCAAAGACCTAAGTTTGTATTTAGTTGATAATGTAAGACCACATGAAGACCACAATAACTGTATAATACGACTCAGGCCCGCCAGGGGAGCCGCAAAGGAGTAGTAGTTGAAAATGCCACGGGTTTTTGCATTGTAAAATGCAAGTATGCCCATAGGACAGCTCTCACACACAGACATACCTCATGAAAGATGCGTCCTCTAAAGTTTTTAAAGTTTCAAGTTTTAAACCATTTTATGAAGGAGTTCTGGGACTTCGCTTTTACCTTTCTTCATTACTTCTAGGGCCTTGACTTATGTCAGATTACCATTTTCAAGCATTGAAGTGAGAAGTTTTGAAAGCTAAAATTTGACAATGGAGAGTTGGAGACTATTTCAAAGTGCTAATTAGTAATTACTATGTGCCATTTGCTTATGATGGAGAAATGATTTTCAATTTTTCACAAAGAAGACATACAGCATCCAATAGAATTACGAATAAAAAGTTGTCAAGTGTCCATTTGTCTTGTAAGTCTCAGATGGCATCAAGCAATCAACTCAGCACCATCTCCTTCCAAACAATCACAAAATTGTGTACACCTGAATCGTTCTTTTCTGCTTTGAAAGTGATGACTGGCATATGTCCATTACCTGCCCCTGACAGCGGGCATCCCCTGGCCTCTGCAGACGGACAATGTCGTCAGACTGTCTATCTGGTTATAAGGCTTTCTCTGAGTCTGTCTGGTTACAAGTTATAACTTGGGGCTTTCTCTTAGCATAACCGGTGCCATGGCAATGAACCAGTCCAGTCTGGAGCGGCTATTGCTTCAGCTCCTTTGTTGAAATAAACCCGGGTAGAGCTTTCCAAAAAACTATCCTGGGAAGAAAAAAGAAAAAAGAAAAAAGAAAAAAGAAAAAAAAAACTGTCTTGGCAAAACCTTGACACCATAAGCAGAGCCAAACCCAGATTCTCTAACTCCATTGAAGGACCTCTCATGCTGTGCATGCTACTGGCAACCAGGTCTATTTTCGGAGACCCACTTCCAAATGTCCCAAAATCCTGAAATGTGTTAACCATTTTTTGTCCCCAGTCTCAGACCCGATCTTAGTTCCTGTCGCAGTGACAGCATTGTACCTGCTACCCCTGACAATCCACACCATGCAGCTTGAAACAGGCGAGTGTTTCTCCCTTTCTTCATGCATTCCAAAAAAAGGTCACCATCGTATGCCCTCTCAAAGGGCCTTATTACCTCCTCAACCTCGTCCTCCGCTCTTCGCCACTCGCTCTGCATATCATCATTTGCTTATGCTAACTTAGGGCATACTCGTAGAAGTTTTCTTAGGATCGAGCGCAGTGGAAATTATGGTCAGATGCATCCAAGGAAGTCCCCAGTGTGAGTGCGCCCTAAGCAGTGTTAGGGCAGAACAGTGGCAGTGGGGCCAAGCGCTTAGTGGGCCGGCATTAGCAGTTTGGTGGTGTGGCCCTTGGGACCTTCTTGTGCCTTGGTTGGCAGGCACACACATTTGTGTGCTTGTGGAGCCTTCACTGTGCATGGGAAGTAAGAGGAAACATTTAGTTGGAGAGGGAGCAGGGCACCCGGAGATGGATGGGATGATCAAAAAGGAAAGGGTCTGTTCTTTTTCCCACCTGTTTTCGGAAAAAAAACAATCTCATGAAGGCGGAAAGGGCGCGTTCGTCGGAAGAGTTGTGCTGAATTTCGCATCTAATCTGTTTTGGCAGGTTCTATCGGCAGCAGGAGCTTAGTCACAAGCCCCCAGCGAATGCAAAGGAAGAGGAGGTCTACTGTATCCCTTTTCAGAGTCTGTTGACTCAGTTTAGCATTTTGAGTTGGCTAGTGAGCACCAACTTGCCTTCTTCACTTTGTAAAAGGTGCTGTATGACTCTACACTGTGTGCAAAGATTAAACCACCACTTACATGGACCGTTTTTTGTTAGAACTTAGAACTGCCTCTGGTCACCGACAGGCTGGTACAACAAAAGTGTGGTCTCCTTGTGCATGGCCGCTGCACCACCAGTTTCCGAGGAAGTGTCCCAGCAATGGCAGTTTAATTGTACTTCCTGGGAGATCTACTAGCCAGCTTTCCAGACGTTTCACAGGTTTTGGTGTCAGGACTTAAAGGGGGTTTCATCCTTGTTTTTCCCTTTCCTTTTTCCTTTTTTTTTTTCCGTTTTTTTTCTTTATTCCCCCCCCTCCAATAAAACAGGCCCTTATGGAAGTTATGGTCAAGACTTGGCTCTTGGAGTCGAGGTCGCCGGTTCGAATGTGTGCTTGCACGGAGGAGGGACTTGGGCCCAGATGTACAGATCTATAACTACTGTGGAGGCTCCCGTGAACTCGTGGGCAAGCTAAGACCCGTGTGTGTGAGTGGGCTAGGTACCAGTGGGGGTCACGTGCTGATTGGAGTGAAGTGTGTGAGCATTGCCGCGTCTGTGTGGTGCATCTGTGTGTGTGGTGTGTCGATTTGGACACTACAGCCTTGCAGGGGTGGGGTGATATCACGGCCGGTATGGTTGTGCTGAGGAACGTGATAACTAGGCAGGTGCATATCAAAGTTTTCATGATGAAAATGTACTGTCTGAGAGGTGTCATAGTGTTCCAGAGTTATTCATAGTGCTGTTCGCAGGTCTCAAAGTTTTTTTTTTTTGGGTTGAAACAGGTCCTTATGGTCCTGGCTCCATATCCATTCTGGGGAGCTTCAGTCCGGTTCCTTTCCACTGGTCGAGGATTGAAAAACATGGTGAACACTCACGCTTCCTTCTGTCTGGCCGAAGGAACCCTGACCAGCATTGATTGCTCCAGAACTGGAGGATCGACTGTCAGCTTGCCCTACCACTTTTCCTCTCAGAATCTACTGTGACTCTGTCAGATGGTTCTCGTGTAAAGCAAGAAAAGAGGAGAGTGGTCTATATTGTTGAGATTTTTGTAATCTCAGTTTGCCCATCCCTGGGTCATCGTCCTTGCTGGATTTGCACTGTGCCACTTCTTCCAAATCGATCTGTTATCTGCCATGTTTGCAATCTTTCCCTACAGAATCCAGTTCCTCACGAAAGTCTGTCTCTTGATGGCTAACCTTTCTGGTCTGACTTTTGTTGTTGATGACACCTCTCTCCATCTGGATCGAATCTCAGTTTCCACCATTCCCAGCAGTAAGATCCACATTTCTTCCTTTGCCTGTTTGTAGTGGCTGTGTGATGTGCTGTAGTTTTCAGAATTGCTGGATCAGTAGGGGAGTGATCCTGTACTCGTTAGCCTGTGGGTGTCCCAAGCCATTATTCACGGGTAGTGATCGTCCCAGGTAGCGATCTAGATTCACCGATTCGTCAATGGTGTGTTCTGAGGGATCTCTCTGGTATATGTGATGTTTGTTTGCGGCTGGTAGGATGTGTCCACTGTAGCTCATGTACAGATGGATTGTACATTGTAAGTTCGTAATGCTTTTGCCGGATTCTCCGTTGGTTGCGTCAGTCATATACGCTCTTCCCAATTCGTACATTCTTTCAGTAAAATTGTACTAATGGATCTCTCTTGTGAGTGGTGTATGGGGCTCTATCATACGTCAGAGATGAAGAACATGGACTCTATATGTATGCTCTGGGAGGTGGTAGTGGTGGTACAGGAGTACCCGTGTGCTTCGCATGCAGCTGGGCAGGTCATATTGCCGCAGTTTTCTGTTGTAGGGAGCCAGGCATCCAGTGAATCCCAATATGATGATATGAGGGAATTATATCGTATCATATGAGGGAATTATATCGTGAGATATAATGGCAGAAGCAGGAAGCAGAGGAGAAGGGACAAGAGGAAAGAGGAAGGGGACAAATGGCATGCTGACAATCTGGCAAGGCAGGCCAATGAGACGACTGAGGTGAAAATGTGCGAGAAACTGAAAAGGCAGCAGTAGGAGCTTCTCCAACAAGCACAAGAACCGGGAAAGAAGCCAGTGAATCCAGGCTAGCTAAGGAGCCTCTGTGAAACACCGATGTTGCTGTGGGAAGGCCACTGAATGCTCTGACTCAGACGATGTAAGCGACCACGAGGACAAGGATGGCACCGGAGACAAGAAGCTTGGTCAGCCCATTTATCTTCTTTGAGTGCACTGTGAGGGGCAAATTCCTGTGGCCGGGCATCTGTGAGAATTGGTGCTCCTCTGTCACTTACTCATACATTGCCTGCTTGGCGTCTGCCACCTCCTCGCCCTCCTACCTCTCACGTAATCGGTCTAACTCCTCCTCCCCCCCCCTTTCTGCTTGTTTAACTCCCCCTCAAGATATGAGTTGAGAGGGGATGGAAGACGTAGTTGCGCTCAGTCCAATATGTCGGTCTTGGTCAACCAATGGAACCATCGGGGCACTGCATAAAGAAGTGCTGGTGACCTGCTCGGAGCATTGTTTGGAAATTTGGTAAGTCGTATCATCACAACTCAGGAGCAAATGTCAGCAAAGAAGACCAAACAGTTGAGAGAGCTGTGCAAGCAGGATGATATTCTGTATAGAAACAGAGAATGGGCCGTGGAAGATTTGTTACGTGTGGGGATGCTAGTCGCACACAAAGACTTCTTTTAGCATTATAGGAACCAAGCCCTCAGAAGAGGAGGAGACAGTCATTGTGGTAGAAGTTCCAACACAGCGACGTACACGTGTAACCATCTGATTGTACTCCTCCAGTTTGTCTATGGAGTCGTCTGATTGACTCCCTATGGCCCCCCGAAGACGAGTGTTCGACAGGAACTTGTTGGTGACCCGATGGGCACCCGTCACGCCTTCAGCGGGCAAGGCAGACCGTTCTGGATTTTGCAAATCCTCAAAGACATGCCTGGAGCCACCGTCCTCCTCCTAAGCTTACATGGGCAGATACCTTGGATGCAGAAGGTCCTATCCATCTGTGCTTGCATCCAAGCTGCTTATTCCTACAGTTTCTTGACTGTGCAGTATTGGCGCTGTCAAGGGCAGCAGAGGAGGCTTTGATAAGCTTGGACTCGACTGCTTGAACTTCTGAATCTGGTGCCTCCGAAAGAGGGATCATGGCATAGCTATTCCACCCGAACCAACCAATCCGGAGAACTAGATCATTTTCTTAAGATGGGCATCTTGTGAGATCGCGTGGATTTGTTGGTTCGGGTGGAATAGCTATGTCACGGTCCTCCTTTCCGAGGCACCGGATTCAGAGTCTCAAGCAGTCGAGTCCAAGCTTATCTAAGCCTTCTCTGCTGCCCTTGACAGCACCAGTACTGCACGGTCAGGAAACTGTAGGCAGAGGCAGCTTGGACGAAGAGTGTGCTTCCCAGATGGCAAAGACCAAAGTCTCCACCATCATCACTTATACCTCTCACATTAGATTATCACCGCATGCTATCTTTCTACTGCATCTTCAAGAAAAACGTAGCAGACGGCAGCATTGTGGAGAATGATTCCTAGCTGCGGTGGTAAGTTCTGGACGGAGGGATGGTGCATGCTAGTTTCTCATTATGGGCAGTCAGTCTGTAGTTTTGAAGGACGAAAGTTGAGACTACCTGAGGTGCGTGATGCCTGCTCTTAGTGTGTTGTTTCCCATGCAATCTGTGCGCCAAATAATCTGGCACTCATGGGATGCATTTGATGGGGTCCTTTTGATGGGGTCCCAGTCTCCCAGACTGGTTTTCCAAACCCTTCTTTTCCATCTTTTTGTTTCAAATGACGAAAAGATTGCTGTGACCACAGCGACTCTACTGTAGGGTGCATACCTCATGGTATCTCAATTCTTTCTACCCATTTCAAACAAGGTTTTTCTTTTATCCCGTCTGCTTTCTAAAAGGGGTAGCCCCTAGCATTTATGCATTCATACTATTCTATGCTATTCATCTGATTCCATCAGGGTTCGAATTCGTGATCTATGTGGTTGTATCATTTAGCCAAATGCCCTGGATGTGTCAAAAGAGGTTGCCTTTTTCATGAATGTTCAGATATCTATGATGATTGAAGCAGGAATAGCACTCTCATTCTCCTTTAGCAAATGACACCCCTCCTCTCAGAAAGATCGGGTGAAATCG